AAAGACAGGCAGGGTATACATAAATGCATAATACTAGGTCATAGCACATACTAGTCCTTCCCCCTAACCAAATGGCTCCCTGAAATAGGCTGCATAGAGAAATTGGCCCATAAATTTTACTCCTCCTCAGCAGATCTGTGAAAAGAGAACATACTAACTTTCAAATTGCTGAAGGCATCAACTTTGAAATATCCTGTGTTTACCCCTTCCTACCTCAAATCACCACGGACCATCTTCAAATTCACCTCTACTGTGTTGCCAAATTTCAGATCAGTCCTCTAAGTTATTTTAAAAGTATAACCTGTAGAACCTACAACTCCCTGTTTTCTGGTCAAAATGGTATAGTTTGAGTCTTCTGACTCACCCTTTACAAAACTTTGAAATTTGCAATTCTGACATTGATAATCAGATTCACTTTAACATAATATTTGTACCATAGTTAACTGATTACCACAGTCTGGAATCACCATAGTTCACTGGTGGAAATTGTGAATTATCTATATTTGCACAAAAATATATAAAATAAGAAACTTATTTTAATCTTGCCCCCCCCCCTTCTTCAGAATTGGTTTTTCTATTAAAATATAGTTGGGCTACTATAATGATCGTTTCTTTTCTGTTTTGCCTGTGTGGTTTTTAGCGTTCAATTTTATCTTGTTAATTGCTGGCATGAACTTTTGACATTGATTAGCTTCTCCAATATTTTAGTAACCATTAAAAAGGATAGTAAAACATATTCTTGTAATGAGTATTCTCAAACTATGTATAAAATGTATTTAGCAAAATATCTATTGGATTAGACATTGATTTGATACCTAAAGAATTGCAGAATTCCTAATGCTTCCTCTTTTACAGAAATGGCTCAGGGATCAATCAGCAGTGTGTATGTCTCATCCTCATCAGGTTCAGCTTCAAATGGGACAAGATTTTCAAACAGGTTAGATCAGATTGTTCTTTATGTTTAAAATTTATCTAATCTATTCAAATCAAATGTCATTTTATGTATACTAGGACTGCAATAAGTAATCAGTCATATTTTTAATCAACTAAAGGTGTTCTCAGTTAATTGAAGAATGTTTTTAAAATGTAAGTATAAGATAACATTAATTGTTGGGCCCCTTCTTCTTCCAGAATGATAATTAGTGTGGGACATGCATGGATAGATGTTTACTTCAAAACTATTGTACTTTTCCGCTTGCAAATTTAACTGATAGATTAAACGTTCAGCAGTGAAGGGCAACACATCATCTAAAATATTGAGGCAAATAAAAGGTATAGAAAATAGCACAAGAGAGGCTCACAGCAAAACAGGTTGCTGGTGGCTAATGTTTGTGAAAAACAAGGTGTTAGCAAGTTTCAGTGGATCATAGGAAGGTACTGCAGGTAAAGACAAGTACTGACTTATGTCAAGGTTGAAAATAATAGATGTTTAGTACATGTGATGGCATCTGGTCAGTGGGGACTTGCAGTTTTCTGTTGGACAAAAAAAATTGAAGATTTTTTTAAGGGAGACATTTATTTCTTTACAGAACTTAAAGCTCAAATGGCAATAATGGAATAGAATACAAATGTCTTCTATTGTACTTGTATATCATTTTTTATAATTTAAGCAGTTACAACACCTTGTAGTGATATTCCTTGCGCATTATCGCCAGATATTTGCATGTAATACAGAACATTTTTCCTCTTGTATGATAATTTGACAGTATCCAGTGCTGACACTCTGCTTACACCATTGACATAACACTAGCATAAGCATTCTCTAGCACAATGACGAAAGTATATGCTGGCATTGTGTTCCCTTACAGACTTACTTGTTCCTTGGATTGGGCTGGATCTCAGTGATGAAAAATTCACTGACAATTTTGTACCAAAATCTCCCAGTATAGGTTCACATGGCAGTATAGGTTTCTCTGTCTCCTACACATTCAGTTTCACCTCTTACTGTGCATTGCATCACTACAGCTAACCAATCCCATTGTTCTTTGCCTCTTGGGTACAGAGCCAATTGGTTGACAGCGCCTGTATTCTCTTATCCCATCCCCAGACATTTTTGCAACTGACAAGATTAGATCTCTTGGCCTCCAAGCCCTGTAGCTTCCCTCATAGTCCAGATCATAATCAGCCAGTTAACTGCAAAAGCAAACAAGGCAAAACTAGGGAACTGTGAGCTGATACAGCAAAAAGGAGAGACAGATGTAGAGCCACACTTGAGGCGTTAGGGAATTGCCAGAGGCCCCTGCAATGAAAAAAGCTTATTCCATAAGAAAAACCACTAAGTGACTTCAGATCAATACAAGTAGGAGGAATGAAAATTTGCACACCAAGGTTTGTTGGGAAGTTAGTCCCAGCTTGTCCTGATGGAGGCTTTATTTTTTGCATTTTGCACAGGAAGCTGCAATAGTTACATAGTCTCTGTAACAGTCTTGCCAAAGATACAAGCACACCCCAGGTTTCTCTTGATTATTTCTTGCATGACTGTTTAGTTAAATGCTGCTGCATTAACTAAGGCTGCTTCATAGTTATGTTGTGCTGTCATGCAAAGGCTTCATATATGAATATAGATTAGTTAAAAGGAACAATATAATTTACTCATGTTTCAGTGATTATTCAAATGGAGGAGATGGGATGCTGGCTACAAGTTCCAATGGATCTCAGTATAGTGGCTCCAGAGTAGAGACACCAGTGTCTTACGTTGGGGATGATGATGATGACGACGACGACGACTTTAATGAAAATGATGATGATGACTGATACTGTTTGCGTGTAGACTTTTTATTGTTAAAATTCAGCAAGCTTCAGGAATAAATTCTAGGAAGAGAATTGTCAAAAATTGCCCCATCATGGATATACTGGTAAGAGTCTGGAATTTAGAAATTGCAGCTCTGATAAAGTAAAACAAAAAGTTTGTTTTTTATGTAGATTTTTTTACATGTGGTGAGGATGTGTGTGTTGATATCAGTGTGTTAATGCAGAACTTTTATTTACTCTTAGGATTTTTAACTTGAAGGAAAATGCATTTTGCCCCTAAGTGTTGTTGCTAAGTTTGAAAATGTAGCCACATTTAATGGAAAATAAAATCTGTCCACCTGTCAAAAATGCATACACTGAATGGCATTTTATTTAGAGTGCATTTAGAAGACACTTCGTATTGAAGCATAGCAAACAAATGTTATATCTTGCTGATCATGCAGTCCAAAGAAACAAACAAAAGAGCCTCTTTTTAAATGTTAGTTTGCGGAAAATGTGTGAATTTATTTCCCTTTTTGAAATTATACTGATCATTGTAATCCCATCAAATTTATATATTGTGTTTGCTGAATGTTAGAACATATGAATTGCAATTTTTGGCAAATGTTTACTGCCAAGCTGATGCAGCTGTATAAATGTCTTGAAGGTTTGGAATGAATTTTGCTTATGATGAAAATTTGCCTGATTTCTTACAGGTAGATTTTGAAAACAATTTGTTATATAGTTGTTTACATACCTATAAGTCTATCATATAAAAGACCTGTACTGAAACAAATGTTTATATTTGTTTCTTAAACATCTTCCAGTAATCTATTATAAAGTTGAAATTAAATATAGAGAATGTTTTATGTTTAACTCAAAATTTGTCAATCACTTTTAATACTTCATTTTTTAATAAAAAATCAGGGCAGGTGGTAGTCTTTTAAAATTTATTCACAAAGAATTAACTGCACAAGTACTGTCAGCTGCCTGTTCTAAGACAGTAGTCTTTTTATTGAAACACAAATAAACTTTTCTGTAATATTTTATGAAATATAAGCAGTTTGTTCTACTTGTTCAATTGTGGCACTATTAGTTTTTATTAATAAAACGCACGTGGGCATTTTTAACAATTTGTTTCTCTAATCAAGATTATTTTCACCTTCTACTTTGTTGTGTTTGACTTGTCATTTATTTGATCCTACATTTCAGAAGAGTCTGAGCTCTTTAAATAGGTAAGTAAGTAGATATTTATATCTCTCTATCAGTGGCAAGAGACAAATTATTATTATTATTATTATTATTATTATTATTATTATTATAACATTTCTATGCCGCCCCTTGCCGAAACCTCATGAACTCTAAATCCTTAGAATGAATTCAAACCCAGAAATTTGTAACTGATTTTTTTAGATAAGCCTGAAATAAAAGGAACCTTTTAGTTTTCATATAACATCTTAGTTTTAATTTCATCAATAACTCAAAATGTTTCATTTTCAAAATGGTAAGCAAGAATTGTATGTGTAAAGGTGTATCTTATTCTAGAAGAATTATTCTCTGTTACAGTCTCTCTCTCAAAACCATATGCTCACATCAACAGAAATTATTTTTCCTCTTTTTGTTCAGGGACAAGATACTTTTATATCTGTTCTTCTAGCAGTCCCTATGCAGAAGCAAAGATTCAGTGTGCTATTGTGTGTGCATGAGAGTTGGGAAATCACTAATTTTCTTCCCTTCATGGCTCCTTCTGCATTCATACCACTCTAGCTCTTGAAACTCCTGGACTGCATTTTTGTGTGGTCATGAAGGACTGTAGTGAAGAAGAAAACTTTTCCTGCATGCTTGCATGTACTTTCCACTTATATATGTGGGGTTATCAGTGTCTTTTATTTAGAACATCTCTCTGCAACTTGAGGCAGCTTACAAAATAAATGACAATTAAAAAGTATGAATTTATCAAAGCAATAAAATATTTAGCAAAGTAGTCTGCAGAAGACCTGCTTTAAAATAAAATTTGGTGACTAAAAGCCTTTGGACAATATCCAGCACAGATAGTTCTGTGTTATTGATGTACTGCTTCCATAAGTGATCCCGGCATGCTGTTACCTTAAGCTGACTGGGGAAACCCATTGCACTAATTTATATAATTGGTGCATTAGTTGCTTACATGAGCAGCACATCAGTAGTGTAAGCATGGTTGCAATGTTGGATACTGTCCTTTGGGTATTATACTCTTGGTAAGTTCAATCAGTATTATGTCTGTTACTTGCCTAGGTGTATGCAGAGACAAATTGGTACCCAAAATGTAGACCCATGTCATTGGTAAAGCTTGTAGGTTGTGAGCTTCCTGAAAGTTGCTGCTGATTATGCAGGCAAAGCATGAATTAGGGACATTCTTCCCAATTGCCTGCTCTTACTCTACATATTCGTTTTAATAACCAATAATTTGATTAGAATGTTTACTCATGCGAGTTCTAAATTTTTTTCAACATGACACCACTATGCTAAATGCCCTTTAAAATGTTCTAAGTAGCTGCCACTGTTAAACAGACTTGAGCAGATATTTTTACCCCATCTTATTTATTTACAACTTTATATGCCACCTATAACTGCCAAAGACCTTCCTAGGTGGCTTACAAGTGACAAAAGGTCTTGAGACCTTTGATATAGATGGGATATAAATGTTGTAAATAAATAAATAAGCTCACAATAAGTTTCTCTGCTACTGAGTTCTCCACTAAAGAAATTGACAGTTTTTCAAACAACCTTAATATATAAACCACACTGCCAGTTTGTAAGGCTAATATGGATTTTGGTGTTTTGGTCTGAACAGTAACTTCTCTTTCCGTTTCACCCCCCTATCCCATGGCAGACCAAACTTATATTTGTGTGTGTTCTGATGTAGTTTTACATGTGTGTCTTCATTTCTGGTATGCAGAGGAGGGACATCCTGTTCAAATACCACAAGACATGGCCAAAGTAGCATTCCCACCCCCCC